AGAGAGAGAGAGAGAGAGAGAGAGAGAGAGAGAGAGAGAGAGAGAGAGAGAGAGAGAGAGAGAGAGAGAGAGAGAGAGAGAGAGGGGGTGCTGAGTAGTGGTTAGGTGCTGTCGGTGATGATCACTTAGTTCAGCATTTACGGCTTTTTCATCTGGTGTGTTCTTTCGGAGCCTTCGACGTGTCAGTACAACTTCCAAGGTGGGTATTTTGCTGCACTTCGGGAAGGTCGGGTACATTTTGGGTTCCACAAATGGCGAGCAGGCACCAAGACATGCTTTTCGGGTCCCGCTTGACCGACCTGCTAAGTTCCGATGGTCCTCTGCACGTGGATGACTCGTTCTCAGGTGCAGGCTCTCCAATGCCAGTTTTTACAACTTCAACCGACTCGAGCTGGATGGGAGAGGACCTCTTCTGTCCTCCACGACCAGCAATTCTGACGCAGGTGTCAACACCGACAGGGGGAGACAGAGTGAGCAATCGTGGGCATGTGAATGGAGGTTTGGGGCCCCAAATTCATATTTCCCTTACACAGGTGGCATGCCCCGGACACAGCGAGCTGGGGCATGATGCAATCTGCAATGTCCCACAGCCCACTGACCTGCGGCGGTCATGCGAGCAGATGTCCGCCACCTTCGGTGGCTGGCATGGATGAGGGAGGTGTGGGTACTTCTACACAAGCACGGGACAGCCAAATAGACAGGGACAATTAAGTCATCACGGCGGCCGGCAGGAACCCATTGGCAGGGAGCACGAAGTGGCTGCAGAAGCACCTCGTACGGGAGATGCACGCACTGCTGCACGTGGGAGTAAAGGTGGTAAGAAGACTTAGAAGAGTCCTGGCTCTGCTTGGGACAGAGCACTGACAACTGCACTCTGTGACACCTTGCGAAATGAAGCTGCCAAGATTGCTCTCCACCCAGACTGGGCCAAATTTGACACTTGGCAAGTTCGGTTTCAGTACATCGCGGATGATGTCAAGAAGTATAGCAGTAAGGGGGACAAAGATGGAAAATCCTGCAAGACGAAATGGGGACAGCTACCACGTCAGTACCGACAGATTTTCGACTGGAAGAATAGGTCAGGGGAGGAGTGCTACTGGTCAATGTCAAGTGAACGGCGCGAGGAGCTCAGCCTCCCTGGAAACTTTGACAAGGAGAATTATGACATTCTCGACTCGTTCATGAAGAAAAAAGAGTCTGTGGCAGGTAGGCGAGTTATTGATTATGACCAACCACATGAGAGCGGTCAACGATCTGCGGGGGGAGGAGACACAGTCCCATCTGCATCAGGGGGAGGAGACACAGTCCCTTGGCCGCGGCCTGGAGAAATTTCTACTAGTTGTTCCTCGATGGGTCGACGTGGGAGGGAAGACTCGGATGATGGACCGAGGAAGTGTGTGTCAAATTCCAAAGGGATACTGGAGTTGTCAAAAGCTCTTGCCAGCAATACAGATCGTATAGCAGAGGGTGTTGAGAAGCAGGCCAGCAATGGTGAGAGACAAGTCAAAGTGTTGGAGAAGATGGTGGAGCTCGATGAACGCCGCTTGGACATGGAAATCCGTCGCCTGGAGATTGAAGATCGGCGTGCTGATGCAGACATAGCAAACACTGGGAGGTTGATTGATGTGTTCACTAAGTTGGCAGAAATGCTTTGATACATGTGTGTGTGTGTGTGTGTGTGTGTGTGTGTGTGTGTGTGTGTGTGTGTGTGTGTGTGTGTGAGAGAGAGAGAGAGAGAGAGAGAGA